TCACTGCAAGAAAGCTGTTTCCCCTGAGTTGCTCCTATCTTCCAGTGGAGGCACGAGGCATGGTGTGCCCATGGTGCACCTATGCCCATGGGTTAATGAAATCTCTCATAGTCTATGAACTTTCAGCAAGGGTCTAAGAGAGCGGCACAAGAGTCTGATACTGGTTGCTTGCTTTTTTCCCTATGAGCTTTTGCCCTGAGGCAAAGCTCTTTCCGGCCCAAAACCCACCATCTCCCTGGCATTGTAGTCAAATCTCCAGGGTTAGATGCCAGATGTATGGCTTGGCCTGAAAATCTCACCAAAGGTATCACCTTTACTGTGTGGGTGTTAATTGATTTGGTAGCACCTACCTCTCTGGGGCCATCTGTTTGGAAGTAGCCACATTCTCCCTGATGTTTTTCTGGAAGAGCCTTGAAGCTTTTGGCAAACTCATGAATAAAACATGGTGCTCCGTGAAGCATAGGAGCTATTCTTCAAAGGCCTCATATGGGGAAATCGGATGCATATGGCTTTGCTGGATCTTTAAGATCACAGCCAGAAGGGGCATGTCTAAGCATCGCCAGTATGAACACTGTAACCTGGTGCTGGTTATGGGGACACTGGATATGGGACTTGGGAGAAATAAAAATAGATGGATCAATGTGTGTTGGCCAGCACGTGGCATTGCAGGTCGAACATAGCAATTGTGAATTGCTCCAGTGCAATCCAGTGTAACAAGGGCACCCCCATGCAGGCAGAGGCCATAGCGAAAATACAGGCAGAGCTGAACTCCAAAGCCAGTGGAGGAAAGACAGGGACAAGGAGAGGACAAAGGCTTTTCTTATGCTTCCCAGAGCAACGTCATGGAGCAGAAAAACAGTGAGGGTGAGGGAAAGCCTAGATATCTAGATAACTTGCTCCAGTCATGTTCCCTTGGCTGAGCTGGAGATCGGCACTCCTACCACATAGCTCAGGCACTGAAGATCCAGGGCTGAGTTTCAATAGCTGGGGCTGGGGGTGGAGGCCCCAGTGGAGGGGCTGGTCAGGGCCATCAAGGCCTATTAGTGCCCTCAGGGTCCTGACAGTGATGATGAGAGACTCCTCACCAGCAGTCCTGGTGTTAGCTGCCCCCTGACTCTGGTAGCTTTAGGTGAGGAGGGAGGATTGTGAACGTGAGAGGAGATATGGACTGATCTTGTTTGCAGGGAACAGAGAGGAGCCTGTGAGTTTTAGATGTTCAACCCAAGTCGCTTCACTGGAGAAGTTGTTTCTGCTTTTCCAAAACTGGGCCCTTTAAAAACTTTCCGAGTTCGGCAGCCAAGACCAGAGCCAACCAGAACCATCAGTTCCTTTGGAAAGCTGGCACCATAGTGCCTTGGAAAATACTGCGCTCACCTGGCGGTGTGTAGGTCATAGCAAGAACAGGGCTGTGAGTCACACTGGACAGTAAAAGATGTTCCCCTGTACTGCTGTTAATGCATGGTCCTATATGCTCATGCAGGTTTCCTCTGTTATTCTTGCATTGCCCTTATTACTGTTGCTATTAATTATTGAAAAAAGGAAGAACCTGATTACATCAGGGCAAAGAGGTGAAGAAGAGCTCCAAGATGCACACAGCCCTTTTCCCTTCTGTTTAAGGCTGACTTTTTTAAAGAGTAGGTGGCCTTTCTCCAGCTCCAGTGTTCTCCTTACAGCCATGGCTGAGGAGCACCTTAAGAAGTGAACATGAGAGAAGACAGCATGTCGCCCTCTTGGAAAGAGGGGAATGACGTGAGCCATTCATGGCATCTTCCTCTGATTTGATGTGACAGCAGAGTGCTCTAAACACTGTCTCAGGAAGCCAAGTATAGGCAAAATGTCTGCTTCCATCTACCCCAAACCATCCCCTCCAGCTACAGCTGAGATACGGCTGCAATTCACTGACTGCATTGTGTCTGGGAGAAGGATCTGTTCTCAAAACTGTCTAAGACAGCTGAAAATGAACCCTAGTAACAGCTCAAAAAATAAGTAAACACCCACCTCGCTGATGGGCCCCTCTTCTGCCTGCTCATTTCAGCAGAAGGAGCACCCATGGCTGCCTAAGCAGCCTCAGCGGGAAGGGCATGGGGCCTTCCACAGAAGCTAGCATGGCCTCCTTGAAAGGAGTCATGGCTTGTGGTAATCATAAACATGTTTGTAATGCAGACAAGGAATGTATGTCCAAATGGACAAGTGCCCAAATGGTCATCTGACACCTTTTGCCTTAGGTATACTGAAATCAGTAGGCGTGGAGAACGTGTCCTCGCAGAAGAAGATCTGCCACCCCACTGATTCTTGAGAACTGTGGTACCCATCTCCTGCCCAAAAGACCTGTGCCCCTGGGTGACTTCTCTGTAAGTGGTCAGCCAAAGTCAAAGTGCATTGATATCTGGGCTCTTGCAGGTGGCTGTAGTGAAGAGGAACTGGTGTTCAATACTCCAGTTGCTGTGAATTCAGCTGCTTCTAGCAGTTGATATCGAAACAAAACTCGATGCCTGCTGTGCAAGGAAATGTACAGCATACAGTACACAGGGAGGTTCCCTGGTGAATAACAAAGGAGACAGTTACTTTGGGGAGTGCAGAGGATGGGGGTAACTCTGGGATGAGAACCTGTTCTGTGCCTCTGATTATGATGCCACCACCGTGAAGGAGCAGCCAAGAGAAGTGCTGGAAGCAGACATGTTCCCACAGGTCCAGAAGACTTGGTCCAGGAAAAATGGATTGCCGTGCATTGGCAGGGAATGGCCTCCAGCAAGACCAGAGTAGGATCCTCTAGCAGCAAAGTCTGAGCTCATGAACTGGGCCATCTTTTCAGCAGATACCAAATTCAGCACACGCACACACAATTCTGATACTTTCTTGCTCATCTTTGAATAGTTTGTGAGCTCACCCGATGTGGCTGTCAGAGGCTCTGTTTCTATAGCACCCCAGTGTGACCCGTCTTCTCAAGCAGAACAAAGCAATATGCTTGCTTCCCTCTATCGCTGAATCTCATCCACATGAGTCCCTGCTTTTCTTCAGTGTCTGCTACTCCTTCTTCTCCTAGGGCATACAAACCCCTACATTTCTTATGTGCCCTGTGGCTCTTGTGTGACGCCACAGGCAATGTACATTGTGGGCTTAGCACTGTTGCAGAGCTGGCTTTCTTGTTTTCAGGAAAGGAAGTTGCATGCAGAACTTCCCAGTTTCTGGGGAATGTTCCTACTGTGCAGTTACTCAGAAGGGCAAAGTGAGGTTCCTCTTCCCAACCCAATGTGACATTCCCAATAGGACATATCCTATTCCCCTCTGGAGCTTGGGGAGAGAAGAAGAGTCCTGTGAGAAGGATCATCATCAGGAAATCCTAGAGAAAGCTACATGGGCTTGCAACCTACCAGCCTCAGTTATGAGTATAAGTATGCCGAGAGAGTTCCTCTGAAAACAGCACTGCTATGGGTTGTTCCTAGTAAGTCTTGGATTTAGAGTTTAGAAGCTCATTCACATGTTTTTAAGGTGCTTGCATGAAGGAGAGGTACAGCAGATGCACCTCAAAGCTTGGGTCCCGTCACAGCCTCTAACAATAGCACAGATGCAGCTTACTTGAGACACCTGACTGTGGAAGGTGAGTCTGACCTCAAGCACTGCAGTTAAGGGCAGCCAAGATGACAGACTGCACCTGAAGCTGCTAAGTGTTGCTGTGAGGCTGGGATGTCAATATAAAGCTCTTATGGCCACTTTTCCCTAACCCTTCTGCCAAATCATGTGTGAATGTGCCCACAGTACCACCACTTTTGGCATCATTGCCAAAGCTGATGCCTTGCTGAGGAGATACAGGCCTTCTAGGTTGTGCTTTTATTGTGCTACAAATGAGGTGACTTTGACCTGGTGTACTTTGTCTCTTTGGGCTGTAGGATGAGAGGCCTGTGGGGAAATTGCAGTCTGACCCATTGGGGCAAAGGGGAGAACCCTGGAAGATGAAGAAATGCGGGCTTGAGAAAGGATCAGACAGAGAATCCAGGTAAAGAACATGGCTGGAGCCATCCTCAAAGCAATGCATGCCCATAGTTCAGACATCTTCTGTATGAACATGATCTCTCCGTCGATAAACATATGTTCATGGCAACCTCCTCTCCATGAACAGATACCGGCTTTTAATTCTTATTCAAATTAACAGAAACCTTTGCTAGCTGTCAGGTTCAATATCAAACGAAGAAAAATGTAAGATCCTGAATATTATTTTTTTCCTCCTTTTAAAACATGAAGATAAATACCAGTCTTCCTGAGTCAGCTGAGATGCAGAAAGTAAATACAGATGAGATGAAAGCAGATGACTGCTGGAAGGCTTGCATGGAGACTGCTGGCACTGAGGCGGCAGTGGAAGCTCTCCAGCTATACTCACCAACTGGTTCTTGTTATCTCTCTTTGTATCTCCTACAGTTTGGAGAATATCAACCAAGGAAGGAATTGTCAACAAGGCACACTGAATATTTGTCAGCTTAGCTGAGACTCTGCACCTTGGAAGCCGGGAGCTGAGACACAGAAGTGAAAGGTGCATGCAACTTTGATTTTTAGAGGAAAAGCCTATGGGATTTGGGTGCTTTGATCCTCTCTTTCCAGAGAAAGATGCGAGAATCATAGCTCCAGGAAGATCTTACCAAAAATGAACTTGTGGATCAGTGACATTAAAAGCAAGCAAATCAACCTACTTCCACTGGCAGTGGAGGAATAGGCATGTCTTTGTCTGCCTAAGTGCTGGCCTCAGGTGATCACTAACGACACTGCAGGTGCAGCTTCTTATCAGTCCACAGGCAGCCTCCTATTAATTTAATGACACAGTATAGTATGCTGGGAACAACTCCAAAGAAAAACACCCGTTTTATTGATTGGCTTTGCTTTCACACAAGTTGGCCATCCTCTGTATCCTCTTCAGTACTGACTCCTGTTTATACAAATTTGGCTGCTTGTGTGGGACTGCAGAGAAGGTGAGGGTAGCGGGTTCTGTGATGTAGCGGGTGTGTTCCTAGGGCTGGCTGGGCGGCACGTGAGGGGTCAGCAGGAGGAGAAGCTCCAGATCATCTACGAGGGTGAGTGAGGGCAGCAGGGTGTCAGCACGGAGGAGGAAAGACCCTGGGCAGGGAGCTGCAATCCCTGCCCCGGCCGAGGAGGGCTCTGCTCCCTGTGTGGACGAGGGGCGGTGTGGGCAGAGCAGAGAGAAAGTTCAGGGGCACGCGGGGTAATCGTGGCCAGCACCTTCCGGCTGATCCCGTTGGCCCCTGCTCCCTCCTGGCGATGGGAAGAGCTGGGTGGGGTGGCCCTGGCAGGAGGGGTTCCTGGGGTCCCCACAGATCCACGTTCTGACCTTGGCTCTGTTCCTCTCTGTTCCAGCCCTTCAAGGCATGACAAGTGACATCAGCGTCTCCATCTCAAACCTGGCAGCTCAAACCCTATTCCTGCTAAGAGCTGTAGAGAGAAATCCTTCCTCCAGATTTGGGCTGCGAGACCAGCTCCGCAGGGTGTGGAGGAGGTGGCCTTCTCTCTGGGATAATGGCTGGCTGTGCTGCTGGAGCTCCGTGCAGAGCTGATCCCGGGAGCTCCGTGTGCTGGGGCCACCTGAGCCTGCGGGGAAGGGCTGGGTGGCTCCTGGCCTCTCCCTGCCCACGGGACAGCTCTTCTCTAAGAGCACTTTCTTTCACCCCAACATGGGAATATGAAATCCATGTTACTCTACTCAGAGGCCCAGGAGCGTGAAAGGGAGAGAACAATTAATGGCTTCTACACCTGCGTAACTTCATTCTATCTAAGATGAGCTGAGCTGAACCTAGCAGCTGTAGCTGCCAACACTGTGTACAGATGCAGAAACGAACCTCTGGAGGAAAAAAGAAAAAGAAAAAAACCAAGCCAGGAAGTGATCAGATCTCTAGGCTGTTCTATAGGCTTTATTGCTGTAGCTTGTCCCACACGTTACATGCTTTCCCAGTGCAGGACCTGGCCATCCTCTGGTGGTGGCGAGCAGCACATGAATGGCTGTACCTGCAAATCTTGAGCTTCTGCCCATCTTTCTCCAACCGGTGGGTCTTGCTTTGGTCCCTAGTGTCCCCAGGGCATTGGGGAAGAGGAGAAAACGGGTACTTGTGCTCAGCAACAGTTGCCCAGGCGTGCAGCGTGGTAGGAAAAGTGGCCAGGAACCCCTTTGCCCTTTGGTTCTGCTGCTGACGCCTTAATGCTTCCGACAAAGCTCATGGGCAGAGCCCAGAGCTGTGGGGATCCCTGAAAAACTTGTCCTTGGAGATGTCCACAAATACTCTCCCAGCCACGAGCCGCCACTTGTTTCCTGCCCGTGTGTTGCTGGCTGGATTGTTGAGGGGTCCGAGGTGCCTTTCGGGCCGGCTCCTATGGAGCTCCCTCCTTCAGTGCCGTGCCGCTGCGGGGCAGGTTTGCGGGGCTGGGGGGAGACCCTGAGGGGACGGGGCGGTGGGAGGCCCTGAGAGGATGGGCTGGTGAAAGACCCTGAGGGGCCGGGGCAGTGGGGTGCCTTCAGGTGCGTCAGGGCAGCTGGAGGTCCTGAAGGGACGGGGCGGTGGGAGGCCCTGAAGGGATGAGGTGCTGGGGAGGGCCTGAGGTGACAGGGTGGCGGGAGGCCCTGAGGGGAGGGGACACAGTGGTGGGAAGCCATGAGGGGATGGGTGGCAGGAGGCTATGAGGGGAC